CATCATTCACTTTTGGAATGATTTGAAAACAGGCATGAAAAATGTTGATGCCAAATTTTATTTTGCAAACAGGATATTCTTCACTAAATTGTTAGAAATTAATTACACTATCATTCACATTTCAAAATGTGATGTAACTTAAAGAATAACATAACAATGTATATTTACCGTATGTTATTGTTGAGCGGCTCTTAGCATGACTGAAATGCTCAACAATTACTTTTCGATGTGGGTGGTATAAGTAGCTCAGAGCTTAGGCTCTGAGTGAAACATAATTAACCTTTTTAAAATCCATGAAATAATTTAAATTGATAGATTAACTTAAACTTTTCCCATCACTGGGAAGAGGTACTTTTGCTAGATTAACTTAAGCTTTTTCCGTCACTAGGGGCAGGTAGTTTTACTTGTAACTCATAAGAGAGCCTGTGATTTTAGTCATTCAAGTATATCTATAGTGTTTAAGGTACAATATAATCCATAAAAGTGGGTTATTTTCAAGCTTAATTTCTGAATTGAGATTACAATTTTTCAAATGTAGCATTTTTCCTCTTATTTTCTTGTTTTGTGTTATTCTAACCACGTTGATAATTAAAAAATATATCCATGTATTCTTTTCCTAAAATTATTCTTTAAAACTTATTTTTAAAAAATTGTGCTTGCATTTAACAATTTGTAATTTCATTTTAGGTGTTTAAGAAGTTACTGAGATTAATTTTTGAATATCACCTTCCAATCTCATCATCAGAAAATGAACTTTGTGAAACTGGATAGTACTGGACATTTGGTAGTTGGCATTATTATCAGCTGAAACAGATTTCTAACCAGAGGACTTGCATTCAGACTTTGTTAATTTATATCACTGACAAAACAAAGCCTATATGGTCTTTATACACTAGAAAATTTATTGAGATTGCTAAAGGCAATGGTTTAAAAAGATTCGATGAGCTTTTATATTTGAAGTTTTGAAATATTAGTACTGTTTGGAATATGTTCAGTCGGCTTGCATGTGCTCTGTACAATGCAGTAGATGCACTAGCACCTCCACTTCCTTTGCATGAAGAATTTAGTCGTCACTGGACTGCTATCAGAAGTTTCTACACCAACAAAGAATCTTCGTGTTGGTTACCAGTAGAGATAACAAACATTCCTGATCACTTACATCAGATGGCCTGTATATTAGAACAGGAAGAAGGAGAAGACGAGACTGATGATGCCCATCCTTGCATGGAATATTTTTTACAGCAGAAAATCTTGGAAAGTATGTGTGGACTGGCAAGAGCTGATTCTCCACCTGGTATAAAACGACACATAATTTCATTTGCAAGTAGAATACTGTCCAGTGTCAAATTTGACCTTCTTCCTCATGTGTCGGTATGGTCAGCAGTCCACAAATTAGCTAAGATGTGTGGGGAGGAACTTGCTTCACCTTATGAAAAAGAGGAAATGGATTTTGTATTTTTTCTTTCGAATAGATTAATGGGGGATTCACACTTGTTCAACCACTTCATTTGTGATACATACAGAAATGTTTCTCAAAAGAGCTGTAATTCAGCAAATACTTCTCAAGATGGTACTACAGAAGTTGTGATTGCTGTCCAAAAAATGGATATCCCTTTACTACAATCACTTATAACATTTTTACATAGCCCAGATCATGACATTTCATCCAAAGCTAGTGATTGTCTTGTAAAATGTGCAGCTGCTTTTGATGAAAAGACCATGAATATTTTGATTCAACAAACAGAGTTTTGTTGTAAAATAGTTACATTTCTTTTGAATCAGTACCATGAGGTTAAGAGACACTCTAGCTTTCAGGACATTGATGACATAGAGTTATTTTCAGTTCATTCTGATGAGAACAATAGCAGTGATATTCATCTTTCTACAGGAAAAAGGCAGATCTTGTCATTTGTAAGGTGGCTTAGTTTCTTTGATAATCTGGTTGGTGCACAGTCACAGCTGGGAGAGAATCTTCAAGTTGTTTTTTCTGATCTTTTTCTTAAAGAAGAAATAAGTGCTGAACTAGCAGATTTAGAAAATAGTGACAAAATCCTATTCACAACAAAACTAATTTCTCTTTGTATTCATAGCATTTCTTCAGAGATCCTTATATTAGATTTTGGGATATTTCTTGTTGGGAATGAAAGTAATCCAGAACTTCCTGGAGGTATGGACCACTTCCTTAAACAACTTCTAATCAACAGGTGCAATGAAACCACATCATCTTCTAAAGTTAAACTAGCGACTTTGCAGTTATTTGAAGATTTATTACAAAAACCTTCTGAAGAAGTGATGGAAAGTTTGATACTCAGGAACTTGACTGGAAGAAAATATTATGACTATTTATTTGTTGATGAGCATATTTACTTCAGTGATGATGAAGTAAGTTGCCAAAGGAAGAGTCTATATGAAGAATTAGATGTTTCCCCTGGATCCTCCCCAGTAAGTCGAACCTTTGCACCTAGTTCCATCCACAAAATATTAAATTGTTTTCTTCTTCTTCTCCCTGATGAATTGAAGTCCTGTGAAGAAAATGATGACTCTGCGTATGATGTGTATATTAAAGACGCTCACCGACAGTTTCAACAATGTCTGCTACTCTGTGATGAATGGAACTGGCCAGATCATCCTGGTTTTGATGATGATGACACTGACTCCTTAGTGAGTGAAACATCTGATTCTGAAACTGAGGCAGATGCTACTTGCACTTTCTTTTATGAGGGATCCTTTTTGGATATGTTATTTTGTAAATTAGAAAATATGCTACAGCAACCCTATGAACTGAATCTGCAAGTGACTTCACTTATATCCAGGTTGGCACTTTTTCCACATCCCAATCTACATGAGTACCTACTGAACCCTCTTATCCCATTGGTTCCAACAGCAAGATCTCTGTATTTAGTTCTGCTTAAACTAGTTGAAGACATAAAGGTTTCAGTACAGGGTGTCCAGAACCTTAAAAAAAAGCTGGAACTTACAAGAAAAATCCTACTCAATAATGAAGAAGGGTGCAACACTTTTGAGGAAAGTAATGTACTAGAAGCAATAATTGTATTAGAAGAGTTCTGTAAAGAACTTGCAGCCATAGCATTTGTTAAGTATCATGCATGTTCATGATGAAAAATGCTATGTGCTGGAAATTAATTTCTAATTTATATGTAATGTTTTCCATGTATGATTAAGTATTTTTTTGTGTTACGTTTAGATCATTGTTAATTCACCATATACATGTGTGTATGTTCATTAGCAGCACAGTTTGCAGAGTGGAATAATTTATACATTATAATTAATCATTTTATTTTGGTTTGGATGATATAATCAATCATTGAACTTTCAATCAAAGTAAGGCATATCTTATCAAAAGTGTATTTAAAATTTATATACTTGTGCTGTGCATGAATATTCTGTAAGTCATTTTCTTAATAGCTGGGGGAAAGGGACAAAAAAATATTTCTATCTTTTTTCACTCTAGTCTTAAACAGTCATGAAATGTGTAGTTCATTATGAAAAGTACATTCATGTACAATAGAGTTTGGTACATTTTAATATCTGTACACCAAAATTATTAACAAATACTATGGTTAGTTTATCTTTGAAATTTGTATTGTAAAAATTTTAGTAAGTTTTTTAGAATTTATTGCCTGGTAAAATTTTCATAAATAAAGTTGTTCAGCATGTGAAAATTTTAAGATGCTGATAACCTTAGTGAAAAATTAAAACTATACAGAAGAATATAGTGTCTTAAATATTAAAAAAACAAGTGACACACACATATATATATATATATATATATATATGTATTTTTTATAAATGTATTTAGTGGAAAATAATATGTACCAGTGTACTGGAAATTTACTGATGCTTTAGCAAGCTTCAAATGTTTATAATTGGCAAACACATTGTTATGTGTAAACTTGTATAGGACAAATTATAAATTTCTTGAGAAAGCATCTATATTTTTGGGCTTTTTCAGTCACCACATACATGTGCCATTAAAAATACAAGCCAGATAATTGTTCTAGTAACTATGAAAGTTTTTACCAAATTACCCTTTCTTTTTTTACCAGGTAAAGTGAAATAGTTTAATATCAATATATATTTATCACTTTCCAAAAAATTATCAGTGGTAGCATGCAAATGTCATTAACTATTCAATGTGTATTATATGATTGACAATGTCTTTTTAATAAAGTTAAGTGACACTGATTTTAGAAGCGAGTTGTTTTATAGGTGTTTTATTTTTATAAACTAGTGTATTATAATGTAGGTAAGAATTTGCAATTAACAAATAGATTAGTCAATATATTTTTCCTTTCAGTTCAGCATAACAACATGGCTGCATATGGGGTCACTGCTGCAATACATATATTCTATATTTACATTATTTGTAATTAATCTCTTACAAGCTTATGACTTAAAAATATAATATTAAAATGGCTTTTTTAACAGTAATATAATTTAAGCTAATGAGTTTGGGGGATTGTAGCCTTTCTAAATGAAAATACTAAATTACAACATAAAGCTAGGGCTCCGAGTTAGGGCATTAAATATTAAAATTGAGATAATATCCAGTATTATAGTGGTTACCAGTTGTAATTTCAGTATATTTTGTGAAAATCTTCTCATATGTGATTTCTATACTTTCACATCCCTTATTTTGTTTTTTGCACCAGGGCCTGAAATCTGCATCGTTTATTTCGCTCTAACCAGCTAGGAGGCTTGTTAGCCCCACTAGAATAGCAAAAACAATAATCTAATTGGTCCTGTTGGACCAATTATATTTTTAAGCATTTTTCATTTTACTTTGTCTTCAAACATATATTTCTATACTTTTTTCCCTGAAATCATAGTTGAGTGTTGGTGTTGTGAAAGTATGTACTTCAAAATCCCAAATGGAGCCTCTAGATTTTTGGCCTATTTTTGAACATTATGGGAAGTTCCTATAACATCTGGAATGTAAGAACGGCAGGATAGATCCAAATGAAGTGTTATGAATATTAACATCTCAAAGGAGAAATACTTTACCTTTTTGTTTTCAATTAAAGTTTTCTTTAATGTTACACATATATGTACATAAATATTGCATTTGTGTCTTTCTTCAAAAATTCACATCTGCAATTGATGAATATATATATATATATATATATATACACACACAGCATTCTTAGAATGAACCTGATATGGCCCATTTAGATTTCTTGGAGAGGCAGTTAGAAATTTTGGACCCTAGTTTGCATATACATGTAACCTAATTGATAAAGCAGATGTGCAAGATAATTTTATTAATAAATACTTTATTTTCAGTTAAAAGGCAGGCCTAATGAACAACAATGAATTATAAAAAATTACATAACAGAACTGAAACATACAAATATTGTGCTTTATGTTGTATATACCATGAACATTGAACCATCAGTCAAACGAAATCCAACTTTATATACAATTGTTAATGTGTTGAGAAATCAAAGTAATAATTATGTCAACAGTTTTCAAAATCAAACAACTTTAGTATTAAGTTTGACCCCTAAAATCAAAAGGATATTGAAGTGTTGACATAGAACTGAAGGCACATGGAAAACAATCATACCCTATAGAGTGAAATAGTAATTTTCATGGTTTATCTGGGCATTTCAACTCTTCAAAATGTGTAGAAAATAATTGTGAATTATTACATGTATGTGTATATTTATTAAAGATATGATTGTTCATTTCTTTTGAAATTTCAATCTGTTTTGAGGAACATTGCATCCCCTAGGATATTTGCCAAAATTGTAAGTCTCAGGAAGAACTTACAGGCCATAAGCAATTGGCTAGAGGTCTGGAGTCCTCTTAAGTGCCCCAGAAACTGTGGTTTTATGCTTGCAAAAGTAGAAAGTATTTAAATTTTAAACACTTTCTTTCTATTTAAAGAAAATTAACTAAACAAACTGTTAAATTGATCATATGTTGTATACAGCAGTATTTGTTCAAAACATATGACATGGAAGCCAATCACAATAAAACAGTGCTATTAGTGAAGTTAAACAATTTCATTTGAAGCCAAAAAAAATGCTTGATACCAGTTTATACAACAATGGTAATTACAATAAGTGAGGATTCCTAAAAAAATGTTCACAGAAGCCTTAAAAATTAAGAGGTTTTGTTGATTTTTGGCTGATTACAAAAGACATTCTGTAGAATTCATGATCAGTTAAAGTATTCTGGATATAATAGGCATTTTTCAGAGTTACTTATTTTCAAAAGGAGACAGTTGTACAAGGCTATCATACATCTTTCACTGTATTTCAGTAAAAAGATACTACAGTGCACACTTGAACAAAATGGAGAAAATTCAGAAATATACATTTATTTGAAGCCATAGCATTCAGACTGATGACAGCCTTGCATCAGAGGCTTCATACTGTTATCAGTCCAAACTATTCAAAGAAATATTTGTAAATACTTATAAGTAACAACAAACAGTGTTTACTTTTATATTTTACGAAAGCCTAGTTTTAACTGCTGTGTGTAATAGTTATTTTGGAACATAAATGTAATAGCTTTATACAGTAAGTATTAAAGCTATGACATTTGGAATAATGATATTTAAATAATTTGGCACCATTAGCAATAACTTTTCTTCCAGTGTAAAATACATCTTACAGTTTGTAATCGTGTTACAAATGAGAGGAAAAAATTGTATTTGAAATGATAACTCGCCTCTAAACACAGAAATACTATCTTCCTTGTGTGTCAGCCTAAGTGACTTGTATGCCACTTACCTTGAGCTAATTCTCACATTTAACAAGAACTGTGCTGGTGCATGATGAGGTCATCATGAGATAAAAGCTCTCCACCAATAGGAGGGAGACCATGACCTCCATGTGCAGTAACTCCCCCTATGCACTTACACTCATGATAATATAATTCTTTCCTCAGTGTTGTACAACACAAACATGTTCAATTTTCATCTGGCTTCAATTTGATGAGATTTGCATTTGTTAACACAACTTTGATTTTCATTCTCTTTATTTTTGTTCAATTTTTGATTTTTTATATCATGAATTCTTAAGTGACAATGACTTCTACTTATTCCTATACGAGTCATAATGTTACACACACACACACACCTTATTTCTACTATGGTTTCTAAAGGTTCATTAACTGTTGGGGTTGTTCCAGTCTTTATTCAACATGTTGTGGATTACCATGTTTACTGGGCCTCCTACTCCAGTCCTGTCAGCCAACTTATTTTCTTCTCAGTTTAGAATGGCCTATTTGACTATGAATTTAACCTGTTTACTGTTGTAGTGCCTTGCCATTAGAGGTATGACCCTACCATTCCAATTTCTTTATGGATTTCCTTCTCGGGTATGTTCTTTTCCTTATCTTTCACCGGTTTCCTTTAATATTTCTTGTTCTTCACTCAATGAACCCAATTCTTAGGTTTTTACCTTTTTTCTCCTTGCTTGTTATTAGGGTTTATGCCATTTCCTTTCTCTGACAGCTTCTCTCTTACACCTTAATGCCTTGGACCCTTGCATTTGTGACTCTTTTGTTTTTATTTGTAGACATTCTTCCTTTCCATTCTAGGTTTCCTGTTTTTGACTTGCTTGAGGATCAGACACCTTGCCTTCTATTTTGCTCTGTTTTTATCTTTTTTCTCACCACCCTCCTGTAGTCCATCTTCTCTCTCCACCTTTTGTCCTAGACACTTCATCATGCTCCAGAGAGGTTTCTGTAGAAGTTTGTTTCCTTCTCTTTGCCAGCTTAGCCTGTCCCACTTCTGCTCTGTCTCTCCTTACTTTGTTCCCCTGCCATTGGGTCAAGTTGCATTCCCCTTAACTGTATATTGTCTTTATCGGGCTCCTTTTTTTTCTGCCTGGGCATCTTTGATGGTGTTCATTTCTCACTGAAGACCTGGACTGAAGTTGTGCATCTTTAGTATTTATTATGTTCATAGATTTTTTATTATTTCTCAACATTGCCTTTTGACTCCTCTTCCTCTTCTGGATCAGTCTACCCTAACATTCCTGTTCCAGGTCTTCCTCTTTTTCCCATCCTCCCGCTACCCAGTGTCTGGTCCATAGCTCTTGTCTGTGACTATCATGTCAAATCCAGCCTTTTGGGTACCCATCTCTTCCTCTTCACGTGCAGTTCGTCTCATTTTCTACCAGCAGTTGTTTTTCATTTTCTCCCTCAAGGTCTTTCTCTCCACTTTTCTTCTCATTTTCTTTTCTCATCCCTCTGACCCTGTCTGTGGTCTTTTTCACCTGGTCTACAGTTGGCCATGGTCAATATGTTGGACATCTTCCTACACATCCCTATTGACCTGTCCTCCATATGTTTTCTACATTCAAGCCATCAAATTAGTGCCTTTCAATTCCTTGCTCTTCCCTTTGACATAGCATAGACCCCTTTAGTATCAGTGAGGGCTTTTGTTCACCATCCTCACAACCTGGGCTGTCATACCTTTTCTTAGATGATTGACTTCTATTGGCTCATTCTCTGATGGCATCCTCTTCTCACACCTCCCTTATTTTGCCAGATGCTATTCAGTTGAGATGGATTTTCAAAATATCCAAGTCCTTTCTCACACCCACTCAATATTTGTTACTTCTAGGCATTTTTATCATCTCTTATCTCAACCCAAGTTCAGCATTCTCCTCTTCACCTGTGAGATATGGAGTATATGGTCACCAGGATTTGTACTTCTCATTCTCATCATGTGCAAGTTCTTTTGCTTTTGGGGACCCCAACTTCTCTGAAACCTCTCATTTGTTTGTGGTACACACACATGTTCCTCTTTCAGTGGTCCTTGCAGATCCAAGGGATTTTTTCTTAGGTTCCATTGTCCTCATTTGTGAACCTTGCCTTTTCTTGAAAAATTGTGACTAAACTGTGCCCATACTACTTCCAGCATTCCTTTACCAACTCCCAATCTATATCTTTCTTTTCGCTTATATTTTCCTCTCCGATTGAGGCACATCTGTGGATGACGACGACTTCTGGCATTTGTACACAGGGTGGGCATTCACTCCACCTCAATGTGCTTGAATTCCTCACTGCTCATAAGGCCTGTTCCCATTTCATGCCCTTTCTGGTAAATCAGTTGGTCACGATCTACTCTTAATAAATCCATGGTAATTTCTACTATCATGAGGCTCCCATTCTAGAACCTTCGCTTTTAGGCTCATTCACATTGGTTTTGTCTTGTTCCCTGTCATATGCCTGGAGCTATGTATCTTGTGATGAACCATCTCTTGTCCAAACCATGGCTTCACCCCCAAATCTATCATTGGGTTTACTCTTGTTTGAGCATTCTCCTTTCAGATTCCTTTACCACTCCTCTTGATTCTACTATTCCTCCTTTCTACAAGCCTGCTCCTTATCCTTTGGCTCTCGCAGCTCTCAGCCATGGCTGGCCTCACCTTTTTATATATGCCTATCTACTTCTTCCACCCCTCCCTTGGATCCTAGAATTGATATGCAACACTCTTCAAATCCTACTGTGACACCTCTTTGGCCACCTTAGCATTGGTTTCCTCTGGTTTTTTGCTTGGTGTCCAGCCCCCCCCCCTCATGTACCCAGTGTCCCCTCACTCTTGTTTCAACCTTACATGGCTTTTTTTTGTCAAGGGATGTTATCCCTTTATCTTTATGTGTGGTATTTGTTTGGTCCATTCTCATATTGTGTAACCTTCTTGTCGTATTCCTAATGCCCTTCTACTTTGTCTATCAAGGAAAAGGACAGTTTATCATCATGGATCCATACACCCCCCCCCTTCCTACTGTGGTAACCCTTCTGCCTTTTTTTGGTTGGCTGTTCGACCATGGTTTATTGGTCTTTGCCATTGCTGATTATCAGGTTTGTCCATTGCATTTCACTTTTCCTAGTTCCAAAGGGTGTTTTCTTCTCCTGTCCTCTCCTTGTCCAACTCTCATGCCTGCCTGGGTCCTTAGTGTGGTTTTACACACTAGCAGTTGTGCCCTGCTCAAGCCATTAGCTTTTTGCTCTTTGTACCACTTTTCTCTCACATCATATTTCTTCTTCTTTTTCTCTTTTGGTTACAGTAATTTGGTTGTCTAAGCTTCTTGCACCCTCTTCCATGGGACTTATATACTACTCTACCCAGATCAGTCATTCCTTCTTCAAATTTCTGCTATTTAGGAGGTTAACCATCCTTTTTCTCCTATTTCCCTTTGTTCTGCCTCTCAACTCTGTGATCATTTAAACTAAGATGGGCTCCTATGTTCTATTTTGTGTTGCTTATCATTGGCTTCTCCCTTGCCATCAACTGTTCCTACCCTGGAACATCTGTTCTTCCAGGGACTTCTACCCCTATGGGTGACTCCATTGACTTATCCAATTTGTATATTTGTCTCTGGATGTGGATGCTTGCAGGCTATTTCACATTCAATTTGTCACCTTTCTCATTTTCTTGCTTCCCATCTTTGTGGGCATGTGGATGACTCCCCAAATATTTGTCATTCCTTCTCTTCACTACCTGGCTATTTAATCTCCTGCAGAATTTCAACTTTCACTGGCCTCCATACTTCAGTCTACCCACTGTCTTTGAAATGGGTACATATATTTCCCTTCCTTTCCATTGAAAATGGTCCAGACAGGTGGCTTGTGTTGCCTTACAGGGTATACTTATTTCCCAAACTCCACATTGAGCTAGGATAACAGAAGGTGCTAAAACCATCCACCCTAGTTCTTTCTACCAGTGTCCACTGTGAGATGGGGTATTCTGCAAGATCACTTGAGGTACCCTTGTGGTATACAGATTTACTCAGTTGTCCAATCCAGACTGTACCAATTCAATAAAATATCATGAAAAAAGTCAGCACCAGAGTGGTGACTGCCCATTTATTTGGCTCACGCTTCCCAGCTTTTAAAAATAGGATTAATGATCACCCATTGCAATGTCTCCAGTGGAGCATGGAAGATCCTTACTACTTACCAGTTCCTAGCCAATGGTGTGGCAGGCCATAGAGAATCCTCACCAGTTTGGCTTTGCACAATACAGTGAGAAGTAGGCAGGTGGTGGCAGTGTCAATATAGTATGGGTCACCCCTTACAAACATAACACATAACTAATGAGCCCTCCTCCTGCAGCCAAAGCCTGTTTATTCAGTAGAATCTAGGTAAGTACACACCACATGATCTTATTGTACCCCAACCACACTACACATAAGCTTACCAACTGCTTATGTGTAAGTGTTCAAATGGTCAAGTTGTCATTCCACCCATCCCTGTGACACTTGGGGCTCATTTGCCTCTCCCCACTTATATTCTAGTCAAGATGAGATGCAGTCTCCCACAGATGTGTCACATTTACCTTGAGCTTTCTAAAGGGAGCTCATCTAGGTAAAATTTTGCCCCTCCACCTTTTCAGTGTGAGATTGTAGCACTTCTCTGTGTGGAGTTGAGTTACTGTCTAGGAAGTTAACATTTTCCTAATCAGAAAATGTATTTCTGATAGATGCTTACCTCCAAACACATTCCCACCCATCCTTCCCACTTCTGGTGCACATATTTTTTTGTCTTGCCTCATCAAAGAGTGGTATTATCAGAAGTGCATAAGGGGAGTTACTGCACATGGAGACTCTGTCACTCTCCTGTTAGTGGAGGGATTTTGTTGCATGATGATGTCATCATGCACCCAACACAGTTCATGTTAAACACATGAATTTAGGTAGGAGCTACCTCAAGGCTAGTGGTATGTAAATCTCATAGGCAGATGCATGCAGAAGTATCTATTGGAAATACATTTTCAGATTAGGAAAATGTTAACTTTACACAATTTCTTTGTAACAATAATGAAAATTAACAACTAAGTAACTGTACGCAAAGTATTCTGTAAGAAACATAAATCTTTTGTATCTCTATATCGAGTAAATTCTGGTCCAGTGTATTTTTGCTAGTTTAAGCTAATCCAGATTTTATGTCTTGCAAATAATTTTACATTCTGAGATATTTTAAAGTAAATTCCAGATAGTCTTCTGTCGATAAATACTTTAAAAATGATTATTCTATATTTCATTTATGCTATATAGTTGAGCTTGCTATCATGTGCATATACACTATAAAAGGTATTGCAGTCTGAAATTTGATACAAGTAAAGCAAATCATATGTGTATACCTTAGAGAACAAAAGCAAGAGTTTTGTAAAATACTTGCAATTTATGTAATGTGTTGACTACATTATTTGCAGTGTATGATATTTGTAAATACCATACAAAATATGTTAAGGAATCTATAAAATGGAAAGTAACACTCCATATCAGTTTATCGTTTTTGAAAATGTGAAATTCTAAAGTCAAATTCTTGAGTTAAGAATATTTGAATTATTCCGTGTCAACTTGATTAAATCAGAATGATCATATGCATATAGTAATAAAATAAAAAATGGGTTTTATATATGTATTTGCACATGCTTATCTCTGAGTGATAATAACAAGAAATAACAGTGATTCAACCAAGAAAAGTTAAGAAATTATATTCATGTACAGTTATCTTTCAGTTTAAATGTAACGGGTACTCAAAAATCCAGGTATCCATTGGGTTTTTAATTGCCCAACGTGGGTCTATTTTTTTTTAATACCTAAGTATCAATTACTAATTTTTAAAAAACAGAGGAATATGACCAGTAGATGGTTCAAAGAGTCCTGCAACATGGAACACATTTAACATTAATAACTATTCAATTTGAGATGTTTGTCATTTTCTATACTAAACAAGGTTGACTACAGATTTGAAGTTAACATTTTCCAACGCTGGAAATGTATTTCTGATAAGTACTTATCTTCTCTAAACCAGTTATCTTGACCTTGATTTGTCCTCTAAGCATCGTTCAAATTTTCAACAGTACACCAGTCTATCATACCCCTTAACTTTTGTTTTGTGATTACCCTCCACCAATCATACTGCACCATCTATACTAGCGCAGCACAATCCTTTCTCTTGAGAATTTGTAGATGCAAACTAGAAACACTGGCAGATCAGTGGGGAGGAAGGGTGGGAAGTGGGTGAGAGAAGGTAAGTACATATTGGAAATACATTTTCAGTGTTAGAAAATGTTAACTTCTGAAACTGTACTACCTCCTTTCACCCAAAGCTAGAATCCCACATTGCAACGGTGGAGGGGGCCGGTAAAGGCACAAAAGTAATCAAACAAATGGAGAACAATCTCCATGAAAGAACAGGTGTGCCACAATTATAAAAGGAGACACCTGTAGGGTATAGCACTACTTCTGGAACAGGTGTGTTCTTTGCTCAGTAATGAACAAAATAAGACTCGTAGAGCAGAACTTAAAAAGACAGGCACTATGTCATGTAAGACAGTTTCCGCCTATGGACAACAGATGTCCACATATGTAATGAGCATGAGCACATAACACAATGATAGTTGGATATCAAAAAGGTGCCTGTAATCTGATATAAGAATACATGGCTAGGGCTAAAGGACCATATATGAATATGCTAAGTGTGGTCCTGGGCAAAAAACATCCAGGGGAAGCACCTTGCTCTACATCAGGAACTCAAGTGTGGTCCATTCAAGCAGAAACATCCAGTAGAAGCACCTTGCATATGATTGTACTTTTCATATTTTGTTCGTAACTGAATTTGTGATAAACAAGCATTGTCAGCCCAGGCTAAAATATCCAGGGGAAATGCCTGGAGTATGTCAAGTTAAGTCCATCTTGGCAGAAAACATCCAGTGGAAGCACCTTGCATAAGATTTATTGTTCTGAATCATAATATAATAGATCAACAAGTGTGGTCCACCCAGGCAAAAGAGCTGGAGGAAGCGCATTGTGATATGATGTAGAATGATAAGTGCAGTCCACCCGGGCAGAAAACATTCACTAGAAGAGCCTTGCACAAGATTATTTAACAGTCAGTGGAAGCACCTTGCATAAAAAGTTTATTTCATAAACTACAAGTGTGCTCAACTCAGGCAAAAAACATCTGGGAGAAGCACCTTGGATGGAGTATATTATGACATGGTATAATATTAAATATAACAACCATAGCCCTCTTCTCACAGTAGGTACATATGATTATGAAGTTTATTTTATCGTACAAATCCCACTTCTGAGGAAAACCTCCATGCTCCACCACTCCAGTGACTGGGAACCGGAAGTGGCAAGGACTCCCATGCTTCACTAGAAGAGGGGTGATATGCATTGGTTGTCCAGAGGAACTACACACTGGAGGCAATGCAATGAATGGACATCTGCATTTCCCTATTTTGAAAAGCAGAAAGACCATGATTGTAAGAATCACAGGTCAGTAGGGATGGGCAAAAATCCCTATCTGCGTTACTCATGAAATCCATGAGTGACGGCCCTTTTTATATGATAGTGATAATGAAATATATATACACAAATAAGCAGCCAGAAACACCCCATCTCCATCCACAGTGAACATTATAGAAGTATACAGATTTAGTGCTAAGATGTAAAATTCAGCATACCTGACTCAGGTGGGATCCTGAAATATGGTGTATATCAACAAAATAAGATAAAAAAATAATATGTTGAGTTACTCCAGTCAAAGGTGACCTACCATGGACATGTCAAAATATGCCAATCGTATGAGTTGACGAACCCAACCAGTGAGTGTAATAGGTGAAAGATCATGGGAAACAGAGGAATGCCACAGAACAATTAGACAGGATGCAGCACGAGTCAAATAACATAGCAGGGAACAAATTGGACAAAGTAGAGGATTCAGATCGAAATGGGAATACAGGTGAGAAAAGGAAATAGGAGAAAAGGCAAAGGAACCTTTCTGGGCAGCCGATGTCCTGGGAAGGAAGGCCCGATCCCAACTGCGGATAACATTCAAGGAATGGTAAAGGATGGCATAAATATTGGTACAACGATTACCACATATCAGGAGGGGAGGTTTTATGGGAAAAATGTACAAGGAACAAATTGCAATGGGTTCAAAGGGAGAACCAGACAGGGCATGAAGAACAACACTGAAATCCCAATCCGGCAGAACAAAGGAACATGGTGGATGGACCAGACAAAAGGAGGGAAATCACTGGGGAAGAGAAGGCTTTACAAAAATGGGAGAATGGAAGGTGTTTGACAGGGTAGCCCTATAAAGAGCGACAGCTGAAACTGATTAAACAACCAGAAGAACTGGGACAAAATGTTCAGAATCCATGGCAAATAGACCCGAGTCAGATGCAAGACAAATGCCTCTGGTACAGGCAAGGATAGGCCCTACACAAGGGGTGAGTCCCTGAGCTGAGGCACAGGACCAGAGAAAAGTCACATGGAAAGATGGAGTGTGGTGACATTAAGATGAAAAATGTCAGGATCATTGTTGGAGGAGTAATCAGGACAGAGAAAGAAGAGGAGGGTCTGTTGCTCCAGTAAGGGCAAGAGCAGAAGGAACCACATCTGAGCCAACCAATATGGAGAAACCAGCAGAACATAACAAGGAGTGGTCTGGATAAGGGGAAAAAACCCAGTGAGGAGTCTTATCAGAGGGTAGTCATATAGGTGAAGACCCCTCCAATCTTGACTGAAAGCATCAGAGCTAAGGGGTAAGGAACTGGAAACCAAAAAGGAAGGAAGTTTGGCATAACAGTGAGTGGGAAACACATACAAAGATGTTGTGTTCCCTGTGGAGAGCACACCCACAGAAATACTGAGGATGAAGAGACCACTCTGTGGAAAACCTGGTTGGGATGTGATAAGAGATCAGCCACAAGATTCATAATTCTGGGAACATGACATGCCAGAACCATCATGTCATGGTCATTAGCCTAATACAGGAAATCCAGAATCTGAAAATACCAAGATCTAGACTTGGTTCCCCCTTGCTTGGTGATAAAGCTAATAACATTGGAATCTCCATATCCTGGAGCCAAAGTGGAGAAGACTGGGCTTGACCAAACAGGAAGTGAAGAGAACCCCCCAAATGAATAAGATACTGCAAGGGGCAGTAAAGGACTTCTCCAATTTGGTGAGAAACCCCACCAGAGCAGCTTCTCAAAGAAGGAAGTGGATGTGAGTGAGTGACTGGGCACTGGAAAAGGTGAGCAGAAGCCAGTCACCCATGAAATGGGGAGTCTGAAGTCCAAGCAAAAGAGTGTACCACTCGACAAAACACATACAGAGCTGAAGAAAGACAGAACCCTTGGAGACAAACCAAAAGAAAAAGACGTGACAGTGGGGCAAAAAAACCACCAAAGTGAGAGGTAGGACTCCATGGTGAAGCGAGGTGTTTCCTGATAAGTATGCAGCCAGGACAGATTGATAAGGGAATGCCAAACTCACATGTTTTTACAGACAAAACAGAGATTGGGCATCACCTGTTCAATAGCTCCTTTGTGTGGTAGGGCTTAAACTGACTCGGCAAGATGACTGGACAAGGTATGATCCGAAGGAGATCTGAGAAGTGGATAGAGGGGGAGTGAAATGGAAGGCAGAAACCCCCAGATAGAATCCATATAAACCATGAAACTGTTGTGAAGTGTAGCCAAAAAGACATTTAAACTAAATAACTTAGAGAAAATACTCATTACTAACAAAACTTAGAAATGTGTAGATTCAACAAATTACATATAAATAACAAACCAGCAAAACTATGAAATTAGACCTAAAATATAAAACAATAAGTAACACCTAAAGGACAAAACTACTGACGAAAGTGAGAAGATAAACGACCCTTAAATATCAAACTTGTTAGTCAACTCAAAGAATCTATTCGACAAATGACACAAAAATAAATCCTACCCTGAAGAATATGAGAATAAAAAGGCATCCAGTTAACAATAACAAAATTTGACTCAAAACCAATCCCAAATTAGATGTGACTAGTAGTAAAGAAAAAAGAACTGACAAACTAAATAACATTAAGAGTGAAAAGAAGTAAAAATTTAAACAGAAATAAAGGAATAAACAAACTCCAAATGCAAGTTTAAACTAAAGTAACCTAGATGGTAAAAGAAGTATAAAAATCTAACTTACCCAATACTGAGAAGAGAAAACATGATCTAAGTCATTGAGTGCAGAAATTAGATTCATCCATACTAGCTCACTGAACATGGGTATATCTACAGGAAATGAGAAATACACACTAAAAACTTACCACAGATCTCCTGGGAAAAAGAACAAGACCTAAACCAGCAGAATACGTGGAAGCATGGTATCAGGTGGAAAGTGCCATAGAAAGAAACTTTCCAAGCAGTACTATCCCTCTGCAAAAAATCGTAACTTGAAAGGAAAAGAATTGCAGGCCGAATGTAAGATACGAATTAAAGCCTGTGCTTCCCGTGCAGACATCTGAGACCTAGGGACTAATGTCAGAACCACTGTCTACTTATGGCAGGAATTTTATCATCCACCATATTAAATCTCAAATTCATATTAACAAAGTATAAATTGGAAAACAGAAACAATTCAAAAACAAACAAGTAGAAACAATGGAAATCACACACAAAAAGTCGAAACTCGAAGTTGAAACAGATATATGTTTATATTCAAGCACAATCAAAATTTTGTAGTCACATGAAAAATGAGTTAATACACACATCTATACACTAGAATGCCAAAACGAAAAAGTGAGGATTGTGCTGCAATTGTAGAGGGAGCTACCTGCCCTAGTATAGATGGTGTAATATGATTGGTGGAGGGTAGTCACATGATCAGCATATGTTGGTGCAAAAATGAAATGGTATAATAGACTGGTGCACTGTTGAAAATTTAAGTAATTCTTAAAGGGCAAATCAAGGTCGAGACAGCTTTGAGTTAGAGGGGGTAGTACCGTTTTGGAAGAAACGTGTGTACTACATACAGCATTAAACCATGTGTTATGTATTTAAAATATTAATATCTGTGATAATTTTAATGCAACTTTTTAATTTTTTTATGTTATGAGAATAGGACCTCCATATTTTTCACGGTGAAACCTGATTCTAGATGTTCTACCTGTGCTGCAAACACACAATTATCTGTCAGTTTGAGAGTAACAATTGTTATCCAGTGATTCAGTCAAATAGGTTTTGTAAACATATTTACACAGTTTAAAAATAGTTAGATGGCTCTGTTAGATAGATCTGATGATTTGCAGGAAAATCTCCATTCTAAACTGAGAGATCATGACAATCTGCTCAGGAACAATAATGGAATCCCTCTCATTGGTTGTCCCAAGAGCAAATAGAAAGTTTATTCCAGCATTCTTAAACTGAAACACGAGAATGTTGCCATAGAACCAAAATCAGATCTCCAATAACATTGCCCATGAAAAACTTCCAAATATACTTACTAGGACACAGATCTTATGCAACTAACACAGAAAATAAGGTCAGTACTACGTAAGGTGGATTTCCTATGTATATCAACGTCCGTTAGTGCTATAATAGCATACATCCCTAAAAAGCATGGTAAACTGAGTAGTCTTAACTTCATAAATTAAAATAGAATATGGTACCACAACACCTATGTGTGAAGGTTAAAGTCTTGGTTATCTGGAATAACTTACCAACTTCAATACCCTTGGTAAATCTAAAAATATATAATTTCATTTTTGTGCTAAATCCATAAATTATATCTAAAAGTTTTAAAAACTTTATTTTGCATAACCTTGAAATTTAATACTCAAAGCTTAAAACAAATTTCAAAATGTGTTATCTCAGTAGAATTTTTGATGTACGATAGTAAATATTACTTATCATCAATGCATTTAGGATTGAGTTTACTTTCAATCAGTTATTACAAAAAAGTGAAAGAAACATTTGAAATTTTCATGTCTTGCATTTTTATGAATATCTTTTCACACATATTAAACAAGAATAAAAGGTGAAACACAAAGTACAGAAAATATTACTTCAATCAAAACACTATCATTTGAGCAATTTGCAAATACTTAAATATAACGGTGGAGTCATTTAGAAGTCCCTGAATTTCATATTATGTACAATGTAGATTAATGTACAAAGACTAAATCAAACTTACTGTGAAACTCCACAGTTTGCTTGAACACATTTACAGTGAGATCTATATGTTACTCATACAGGTTTAATAATTCAACGAGTCAAAGTTTTGTGTGACAAAATAATAAATAAAAATCAACTTTAATTCTGTAATGGATTGTGAGCATCTTCACAATTGTATAATTGAGAAATAATTGAGTTAAATGTTTTTGTATGTTGGGAAACTGTATTAAGTTTATTTAGAAAACTAATAAAATTCATTCACAGTGTCTTTAAATTTTAATTTAGTATTATAGACTGTTAGTTTTATAAAAATATACAATAAACAAGTGATAACAATTATGTTATGAAATTGGAACACTTTAATAACAATGTACATTAGACAGATGAAAGTACACAAGGATGATATTACAAATTTCTTGCTCATGCTTTTATAAGCTATTCTTTTTCAGATAATGAATTTACAATTAGTCTGCTAGTTCGAACCTCTTAAATCTATCTTGGTCATAGAAACTTGCTTTCACAACTCTTCCTCCAAAGTATCGTCCATTTAAATCCACCACCGCTGAAATATAAAGAGAAACCTATTATCTATCAATAAATAATTTAATACTAAAATACAGTACTATAAAGTTTTTTTGTGTGTGGGTTTTCAGTAAATCAGACATAAACCATTTTAGTATAAGACATGTTTTAACCTTGTACTTCCTACTTAACGAAACCAAAATGGTGCATGTAACCAACTGCAAATTTTTGTGATCTTAGAACACAAAAATTAAGGTGCAATTTCTTCTAGGAAAATTTCACAGTAAAAGGAAAATCATGCTTTTTATGGTAGAATTTTGTATACATAATTTCTGGTACTGAACTTGTTAATAATAATTATTACCACTCATAAAGTTCACATTACTTTGATAAGCCAGAAAAACCAACTTTGATACTGTGCCTTTAAATAAAACTTTTAACGAAAGGTTATACATTTAAGATTTTGTTATACACAAGTTGCTATAATTTCTTCACTGAAGTATATCACTATAAATGTTTGTAATTACTAAAACAAGCAATGTTTATATCTTCCAAGACAACTGTGTTCAAATTATAGCTGGCTAAAAGTCAAAGTGATAAGCCATAATAAAACTGCAGGTGAAATATGGAATATGGCTGATCATATATGAATGGTATTCTACTGTAATATAAACTAAAGTCATACTAATTAATGGAGATCCAATTTAAAGTGGTATGCATCATCTGTTAAATCATAAAGCTTTAATCCCAGTTCACATTTTACTGAAAGTTTTTAATTATATACAGATGGCCTCAATCCATTGCACTTGACATTCTTTATAAATTAAGACATTTTCCACCTATTTAAGTAATGGTATCAATAGATTCAGCACTCACTACCACACAAACATTATGTTACAATTATACTTAGTGTTAAATATCATATAACAGTTAAATTTAGTTAATATTAAATGACAGCAGCATTTTTACCAATACTAATTGTGTATCTCATACCAAAAGCATGTGTTCACATAACTGGATGTCAGCCAGCTGAATTGTTTGTTTGTTGAATTGTGCACAAAGCTATTTCAAAGGTATCGGCACTAGCCATCCACAGTTTTGGAGTGTTAGACTGTAGGGAGGGCAGCTATTCAACACCACCCACTGCCAACTCTTTAGCACCAAATAGTGGGATTCACCACCACACTGTAACACCTCCATGGCTGAAAGAGTGAGCAATTGGTTTTTATCCTGTGACCCAAAGACTGAGAGCTGAATGCCTTAACCATCAAAACCAGTAAACTGAAGTACAAAAATGTTGAACCTTGGAGTTACCATTGATACAATTAAAAGTGGAATTAAAATAATTAAATAATAATTCCTGTGATATATCTATTATTTTTCATTTTATAAGAATACTTCATCTTATTGTTAAGCCACTTAATAAATAAAAGACAGAACTTCAATTCTATTCAAGCAATATCTCCACATGTTGACCTAAGTTTTAAAGGTCACAATAAAGTCAAAAAACAAAACTTCTGTATTAAAAATATGAGTGCCTTCCATTCATAATTTGACTTAGCAGATTTAGCAAGTGTGAACAATATTCAAAGCCGCACAACAAAATGTTTGACTATGAAGTTCCTTGTCCAGTGGTTTGATACATCAGTATGGTTGCTACATGCTATCAAACAGTGTCCAGTATGTTTATGTTACTTATAGTATTTACAAAGTGAAAGTATAATTTCTTTGAAAAACTAGCCTTTCTTAAATATTTCAATTTCAGTGTGTTTTATAAATTAACAAAACTTGTTTTCAATAATGAAAATGGTCAATGCACAAAATGCATTTTGATATTTCAGTAATATATTAAAGGACTGTATTAGGAAAAATGTAGTGTTAATTTGAATCAAAACTGTAAATACATACATGATAGTGTTTTCACAGTACTGCTCACTGATATGTAATTTCCATGTGTTGTACATGATGTGACAATGTGTTTATGATAAAGTAGTTTTCTGCTGACTGTTATAGTGGGAGGTTTAAATGTAGTATCAATAAGGAATACTGGAGGCAGTTACTAAAGTTCAGTGTCATAATCTGACTGTAAGCTGATTTTAGTTTATTGAAAGATGATGGAGTATAGAAAGCAATCAGTATACACTAAGAATGGGTGAAAATTATTACAGTCAAATACATGGGAGAACAGTGCAGGCTTATTCTGGATACCTACATACAAATTAATATTGTTACGACAGCGGAAGTCACGTGACGCTGGTAACACGTAATGATTTCTAAAAAGATCGGGGAACATCACGAATAATCCAGTATTTGCTAGGTGCCCTCTATTCTTGTATACAAGTGTGCCAGACAATTAATCAGAATTGAATTGCAGACAGGCAGATATAGAGACAGACAATTGAGTCAAGGGCAGTAGTGACGTAAGTAAAGAGCGTGAATCGTTCGTTGTGAATTATAGCGTGTGTTTAATTTAAAGTGGCTGTGGAAATTAAGTGTATTGTAAAAGTTGAATTGAGAAAGAATAAACTAGTTTTATTTAAGAAAAGACTTGTATCGCTGAAGTTTCATCGGAAATAAATTATACTGAAAATTAACAAACGACCAGAGACGTAACAATATATTGTGTTGTCATGAGGCTTAATATCAAGTTTGGTTGAACCTCATGATATAATTAACATTAGCATTGCATATTCGGCTTAAAATCAAGTTCAAATGAGTCTAATGAAATATTAGATTCATCTGGTCATCTAGTTTAAAATCAGGTTTGATTGAAAGTGGTGATATCATTAATATTGATACCGAGTAGGCTTAATTTTACCTTTAGTTGAATGATGATGCCATTAATATTTGTACTGTCATCAGGTCTGGTTGATCTTCATAACACTGATGCTGTTATAGATCACAAGCAACTTTAGTTAAGTCTGTTTTTTTTAGGAACAGTGAGGATACTTCAAGATGATTGTCATTAAAATCCTGATTAGTTTACTAGGTAATTGTGATTTAAACCTTTCTATGTGGCTGGGGTCTCTGCTCTAGTTAAGTATATTAAATCCTATAAGAACGCTGTCGATTGTTTTATTTGGAATTTGCTTGCTTATCAACTATTTATAACTTGGAGTGAGCTTTTAAAGAAATATTATTTTTTTCTGAAATTCGTTAGTATTTACAAATAAATGCAAAGCTTTCCACAATTAGCTATGTGAAAAAGAAATTAATACTTCCTTAGTCTTTAATCTTCCTTATCGGACCGCGTCGAAAATCGAAAGTGATTGAAACCTTTATATTTAGAAGTTAAGTGTATAGGTTTACGAATAATTATCAACCTTTTTGTGTAGAATTAGAAAGTAATTAGTTATGAATTTAAAGTTCTTTTAGAAGGCGTTTTAGAATCTATTAAGGAAAACGTTGATCTCCAAAGAAGTAATTCTATAAGCAATACGATATTTAGTTCAAGTACTTTAGAGATAAGTTGAAAAGAACAGTGCATGCCAGGTCTGTCTTATTAACTAAAATAGTTTTGAAATACATAAAAGTCTCTTGAAAGAATCAAAAACGAATGTAATAGCTAATGACATCATTACATTCAGTGTCCAAGAACATCTGAATAGTTTGAGAATAAATAAATCGAAAACGTTATAAGAATTCTAAACTGACCAACGATAATCAATTCTTGATCTTCTGAAACAATACTGAGTTTTTTAATTTTTTATACGCTCAAGAATATAGATTATAAAATCGAAAAGGCTGAGTTATTATTTAAACCACTGTCGTAATTTTAGTAACAGCGACGACAGTACATGACTGTTTGATATCTACGTAAGGGTATCCAGACCAGTTTAAGCAGAATCTGGATTTAGGATTCAACTTCAAACAAAGGAAATAATCAAGATTACTTGCAACTTAATTATTTACACGGAGATTGTTCCTTTCAGAACATCCTAACTAGTTTTTTTTGTGGCATATCGCTGGAAAAACAATTTTTAAAACAAATAAATTGACAGATGAAATATATTTTTCTCTATTTTGTTTCCTATCGTTTTGATAAACTTTTATTCTGAAATTATGGGTGGGTCACGTAATCGTCATTCTTGGACATTCAAAACGACTTGTATGATCAATATTCACGAGCCGAAAGATATTACTCACACGATCAACATTCTTGAGCAGAAAAATATTCTCACATAATTAATATTCTTGAGAGGAAACAGATACTCAAGTGATCAAAATTCTTGAGCGGAAAAATATTGCTTACATGAACAACATTTAAGAACAGAAAATTATACTCACAAAATCAACATTCAAGCTTGAGCAGAAAAATATTACTCAAATGATCGAAATCCCTGAGCCAAAAAATATACTCAGATAATCAACATTCTTGAGCAGAAAAATATTGCCCACATGATCAACATTCTGGAGAAGAAAAAGAATGATTCACATGACCAATTTTCTTGGACAATCATTTTAACGGCTCACATAATCAACCTTTTGGGAGAGCGCAAAATAACTCATACGATCAACACTTTTTAACAGAAAAAATTGGTTAATATGACTAATATATTTGTGATGTTAATGTGAGATTCTCAAGAATAGCACTCTAAAATAGTAAAGTGTGTCTGACATGATGAGCATTCTTGCACACTAAACACGAACTGACATAACCGAAGAGTAAACAGGATTAACATGATCAATGTTTATACGTTAACAAGTGACTTTAATAATAGACATGCCCGAAGAGTAAACAGGATTAACATGATCAATGTTTCTATACGTTAACAAGTGACTTTAATAATGGACACGCCTGAAGAGTAAACAGGATTAACATGATCAATGTTTCTATACCTTAACAAGTGACTATAATAATGGACATGTCTGAAGAGTAAACAGGATTAACATGATCAATGTTTCTATACGTTAACAAGTGACTTTAATAATGGACATGCCTGAAGAGTAAACAGGATTAACATGATCAATGTTTCTATATCTTAACAAGTGACTATAATAACGGACATGTCTGAAGAGTAAACAGGATTAACATGATCA